TACATTTAATATATTTTTTATTTTACATTTTCAGATGTCTAATCAGCCCAATCAATTTATTTTATATTTTATTGCTTAACTCCTGTTGTGTAACTGTGTTAAATTTCACTGAATAACAGTTTAGTAAATTCACCTTCCAGTCATTCAAATTCAAATTCCTGTGGGATGTCCCACTGAAATTCACACTCATGATTTAAAATGGAAAGGCAGTTTTAAAATTCAGAATTTTGCCTAATCCACTGAAGGGTCAGACAGGTAAGGGAGGAGCTACTGTGATAAACAGGTGAGGGCAGGGCTACTCACTGCTCCTCCCACACTATAGCAGCAGAAAGAAGGTCCCCTCCGATTCCTCCATGCTCCTCAGGTGTATATATTCCCAGTAATCCATGTTCTCCGGCCTTTTTCCAAACCTCTCTGCTGACCTCTCCAGCCTTCTCCCACCTATAACCATACAGTATGTGCATATTTTGAGACACATTTTCATTCTGTATCTATAATGTCATATTCAGGATGAGAGAGCAATGAACCACACTGGTGACTTACTGAGCGTGATGTGGAACAACTTCCTCCTGAAAGAACCGCCGCACATTTTGACGGAACAGGTCATGCTCCTCTGAGAAGATCCGTCTGGTGCCGATGTCCATCAGTGTCTTGGCCATGGGCGTTTCAGGTCGAAAAGGTGCTGTTGTTTCCCCATGCTGGACCTGCGCATGCTGCATTCTAGGAATCAAATTAACCCATTAAAATAGACTTTGCTATAGTTCTTTAAATATTCTAAATATATTATTACCATTGATATATCATCTTGTTTAATAATATATTCAATCATATTCATTTATGTGGTACTCCAAGGTACTATAAAAGAAAACAACTGTCCATAAACAGAAAAGCATAATAACATTGTACTTTTTTGTGTAGTATTCCTCAAAAAGGTGCATTAATTTGCATTCCAATTTCATTCTGAAAAACATTTACTTTGAATGTAAGAAACACCAGTGTAATTTGAAAATGCACATATTAACCCTGATTAATCATTTTTGTTTGTTATTTTTAACCATTCCAGGTGTGATGTTACAACCAAACCACGATGAGATGATTTATTTTTTGACCCTTTCCCATAATTTTACATATAGCTGCCCTCTTTATTTGTCATTATGATAATATAAATTCAACATTTATGATTAAATTGGTAATATTGAAAAGAATCTTCTATTGCAAATACATAATGTCCTGCATAATACTTGTTTATAGATCTGCTGTTGGAATTATTA